TTAATGGGTAACATGCAGTTGCCCATGCTGGGCACTGCATTATGTCTATTTTTTTATCAGGCCTGGTTGTCCGTCTGGTTGGCTTTTTCTGACGACAATTGATTTCTTTACATTGGAGCACGGACATAGAAAAGCAACACCCCTTCTATTTGGCCAATGCCCCTGATCTTGCATCGGCCCTACATTTGGAAGAGCCAATAGTTAGGCAATCGCCACAGCAGGTCGAATTAGCTCCGCGGAGGGCCATTGAATGCAGCGTATTTAAATTATTAGCAGTTGTAGATTTTTTGATTGGATGGTAGTAAGCACGCGCGCTCGGGGTCTTTCTCGCGTAGTTTCATGAACTCCTTTACACAGCGTGGCATTTCTGGGGCTTACGCCAATCTCTTCAACGTCCCCCCTATTATTATTGGCCTACCACTTTCCACGCGCCCCAAAGTTTAGTCCACTGGACTACTGATTCTGCGGGCAGAAAGTACCGCTTCTCATGCATGAGAGTCGATCTACACGTAGTCTCTCAAAAGGGCCCAGTAGTCTCAGCTCTGCGTCTGACCCGGCGTAGTCTCGATACTTGTACTGTATCAGTCCGTAGTAATGATCCTCTTATGCTAAAAATCAGGAAGAGGGCTTTGGTCCGGAATATTGAGAAACCCATGGTTTGGAGCGCATATTAGCTTCGCTTTCTAAGCTTGGATACTGTAGCCGCTCCAGATGCAGGCCAGTGCAACTTATACGGGCGAATGGTCAACACCTCGCGATTCGGCATCTAAGGTTTCAAGGATATCCACAATATCTAATCGTAGATCCCAATCGCGAGGGGAAGAGAACTCAAGTCTGATCAGATATATATGATCCGACCCAGTGAGCGCACCATTTAAAATACGGTCCTAACTCCCAGGAGCCAGTTATCTTCATATTCGCAGTGGAATACCGCGGTTCACGGTATTTTCATCTGTGATAATCGGCATGGTATCCCAGTCGCAGTAGCGAGTCCCGAAATTAATAGTATGAAGGCTTTGGCTTCCAAGCTAAGCCTCGGGTACTGGGTAGGGAAATAACTGGTAAATCACCGAGGTGCCTTCTCTTACTTTTCATGATTTGTCCAGCTTCATACACAATGCAGCTGAAAAAGCTACGAAAATCGGTAAGTCGCCAAGGCGCTGGCCTTGAGACGGGCAGTTGAGCCCCAAATCCGCTTCCAGTAGATTGTACGGGAGCCAATCAGAAAGGTAAGTTCGCGTTGCAGTCGAGACCACTTGTGGAGGCATTGTGACCTTAGGCAATGAAAGTGCAGAAGGCCTAGAGTATACTGTATCAACCCCAACTCCTCATCACCAGCTTTCTATTCGCTCGACTTCAGTCAATTTATTTGAATCCTCTCTTTTCCTTATATTCGGGAATTTTTCTACTTTGTTTCACACCTTCCCGTTGTGGTTCGCGAAGTGAAGCTCCGCATGTGGTCCTGATGCCCCTTCACTCTCCTCAACAACGAAATCCCTCTTCTCAATTGCCAGAATGAACGAACAAGTTGCTGCCTTTGATTGTAGTGACATGCAAAGAGCGAATCCACACCTCTCTGTCCGGCGCACCCGTGACCCTCCCAAGAACAAAGAAGGCCAAATCTTCTGCGACCACACTGATTGTCAGGCTTCGCCGCCTACTTTCCGCCGCCGTTGTGAATGGAAGTAAGTAGATTCAATTCCCTTTCTACACGACTGTCAAAGTCTCCTCTCCATACTAACTCATTTTGTACCAGCAAACACATGGATAAACACGATCGGCCTTACAAGTGCTACGAACCAGATTGCGAAAAGATTCAAGGCTTTACCTACTCTGGCGGCCTCTTGCGCCACCAGCGCGAAGTCCACAAGAAGAACAACGAGACCAAGAAGCCCATGATGTGTCCCTATGTCGATTGCAACCGCAGCACCGGCAAGGGATTTACGCGCCAGGAAAATCTTCGAGAGCACTTGCGTCGTCGCCACATGCACAGGGAGGAGGGTGCAACAGCCCCAATTCTTGTGGACATGCCATGGGAGCGCGCCAAGGATGTAGAGGGCGTTCGCGCTAATTATGTCCCGGCCACTGGTCTCAAGCGCAGACGTGATTCGTCCGATGGCGGCCTCCCCGTTTCCCATAAGAATAGCGGTGATCTTTACAACGAAGTCGAGCGGCTGCGTCGCGAGGCAAAAGAGAAAGATCGCCGCCTCAGGCAGCTAGAGCGCATCATTACCGATCTCCAACGGGCCATCCATCCCCCGCTCGCGCTCGACCACGACGCTCAGCCTGACGACAGAACTACCTCGGAAGCCCAAATTGGCTGAGTAGCCGGCGAGGATTAATACTAAGTAAATGAAGCGTTTCATCAGACAACATGACGCTATAAATATGTTCCTATATTCCATACATGTGTTCACGGTTCGCTCTCCGGGCATAAACGGTTGATTTGCGTAGTATTTGGTGTATTTTATATGCTTGTCGTGATGCGCCCGTCCCGAATTTCTGCCTATATCATGCACCAGATTTGTCCAGAAAAAATCAATAGTAAAGGTTATACAAGCCCATGCATCAATCTATGGACAACAAGAATTTCCAAGACCACAGGGGCGTCTAGTACAGATCAGCAGATCACGAACCCTCTCTTTGCCGATATTCGGCGTTATGCCTCATTAAGAGTACTTTGTGCATTCAAAGCTAGCTTTTCGCGTTTTGAATGGGCCGCCTGGCACCGTTTTCGAGATCCTCTGTACCACGTACCACGTACCACGTATTCTATGCGAAAACATGTGATTTCACTCCCCTCAACTCCCCTCAACTCCCCTGTACTCCCCTGTACTCCCCTTTACTCCCCTTTACTCCCCTTTACTCCCCTTTACTCCCCCTCGGCTCCCCTCAACTCCCCTCAACTCCCCTGTACTCCCCTTTACTCCCCTTTACTCCCCTTTACTCCCCTTTACTCCCCTTT